TAAGGGCCCCAATATATATAGGCCTTGAGGGGGGGGGCAATAAATCTCTTAATTCGGCACTGGCTGATAACTTCAAGGCGATAAAAACGTCGATATTGTTTTCACTTAATTGTCCGGACGTTAAATATTTCGCTCTACAACAGCTGTCCATCTAACTAGTGTTCTGTTATAATACACATTAGTATGGTAATTTAAACATGACACACGTCGTTGGTACACACCGATACACGCCTATTAGACATATTTTTGGAACGTCTCATTCAAGCAGAAATCCACAATCTTTACCGCCTCGGCCTTGGACCACGCCCCAAGGTTTTCGTCCAAAGGTATCCAGAACCGACCGACCGTAAGGGAAAATGTTTGACCTTTTTATAATATTATGTATTTCATATAGCTATATAGGACGTTTTACATCCTTAATGTAGCGCTCAATTTATTTAATGTAAGTCGTATCGAATGGCTCATCCAATAAAATAGTGTCATGTGAGATAATATTATATTCTAAAGAAAATATGTCGTAACAAAAATATTTAGTTATTAAAAAATAATAATTTATTATTTATTAACAATATTATGATATATGTCGAATCGACATCAAAACATCAATTATTGGCACTGTGTTGATTTACAAATTGCATATTTTACGTTTTGTTAACAGTCATATTATAATGAATGACATTATGGAAATGGCTGATTGTAAACCGAAAAAGTCTAAAGCGCTTTACTTAAAACTAGCAACTTTGAAGCAACTTCAACGAGTTCTAATCATGTGCATAATAACTAATTTGTATAGAAAAATTAGAAATGTTAAAAAAATGCATTTCCATCATATTTCTTATTCGTATCGCCCGATCGTCGAAACTAAAAAAAAATATGTACCATACGAATTATTATTATTAATGGTAAACACTTTTGTTACCTATTTTTACACGTCATAGTTATTACAATCATTTTTCGTTCAGCGAACACTTACCGCGGGCTGCTATTGTATAAGCTTGGACAGCATAAGGGGGGCATGGGGGGAGAGTTTTACCTGGCTGCAAGCCGTTTTAAATTAATGGTTTTATAACAGCTACTATTATGTTATTATTATTGTGTCGCGTGTGTTCCTGAGGTCACATTCGATGGTGCCTATTGACAATGAACTATGATCAGTTTAATAATATTAGGTACACTTGGGCTTGGGCTACACCTATGGCGCTCACATAATAGTCGACGGTTGTTTTATCGAATCCGACTTGGGCTGAACTAAAAAAATCTAAGTTAAAAATAATAAACTAATTTAGTTTATGCGACCAAACTGATTAGTGGTGCCGTTTAAATAAAAGTTTATCGAATATAGCTGTTTGTGAAATACCGTATTTTAGTGTCAAATGTATCCGAGAATTCCATCCTCCAACTAAAGTCCAAAAGTATATCCGTCTCTTAACTTGCAATTAACGATTTAATTTTTCAACAGTTATTTACATATTTAATTACTCAGAGGAGGTTTAAGAAATTCAATTTTAGTACAATCTTCAGTGAATATTTTCTAAGGGACTTAGTTTTTATTTTCCAAGCACAAAAGTATATTATATTTCATTATTCGATGTGATTATATAGTTTTATTGGGTTAACTACGTCCCGTTCATGAAATTGCCATCGACGGGCTCTTTAATAGTATTGTTTTTAAAAATACGGTGAAATCTACGGAAAACGTTATAGTCAAATTGCTTGTTCCAATTCGACGGCGGACGGAGGTTCGAATTTTCAGTTTACATCAACTACATTTTGTCATTAAATCTCCAAGATGGATATCTTAAAATCCGTTTCGGTCGCACAGATATGTATGTATGTATGTAGCACGTAATGATCACCGTGTGTTAGTGTCGTTGTAGTTGTCGTTATTACTTATTATATACACGTTATTGCCGGGTACAGTAGTGGTGTCTTGGGGCTTTTTTTTTTTTTCCTTTATTTTTATTATTATTATTATTTCCTTTTGACACGACCCGACATCCCGCAACAGAGGTAGTGGCGCGCGGCATCGGCGACAATAAAACGTAAATGGCTGTTATTAGATAATTGCACGGTTCGGAAGCGGCGGCGGCACCGTGAGAATAAGAGATTACCTACGGACCATAGTAATAGTAATAATAATATGACCGGGATGAGACTATAATATGGCCCGAGCTTAACCGGCGCTTACGGGGGAGTGGGGGGGGGGGTTCATTTTACTTGGAAACTCGGAATTACACGAGACAAATATGCTATCGGACGGCAACGAGCATTGTTAATGTGCGGCGGAAGCGTGCGTCCGCGCCGCCAAGACACAACAGGTACAGATACTAAGACCAGAAGTCTTCTTCTCAGTCTACTGTCAACAGAAAACAACATGTTGTTTGTAATCGGTTCGGCGAACGCAATCGACACAGCACGAGGGGCAGTGACTATATCGCGGATTTACTGCGGTCGAAAGGCGCCGAGTGTATAGACTTGTGTCAACCGCAGAAAGCATACCATCGTCCTGACAGAATTTTGCAGCAATTAAACGCTTCAATTTTAAAAAAATAGAATATTCTTAACGAACCGTCTTACACAACGAGTCAATCGTACATTAGTACTGTTGAAAACACATCTCGGTACAACACTTCCAAGAAACGGTAGAACTCGGGACCATTAACTTTGCCCATCTTAAACAACCTCGGAACAGTCAAACTATGTGTTCAAACATTTTTAAAAAATCACCCAGTTATCGAAAGAAGAGAGGAAGCGATATTAATGAGTGATAACACCTTATCACCTTGGAACCTAAACCAACATGGGACTCGTGCAGAGATAACCTTTCCCATTAAACACAATAATATTATCATGATCGGCTGCCTCAAGTATACTCATATAAAAGCAGAGTAATAGGTAACCTTTGATGTCGAAGCCTTCACAAAAAAATGAAAATAAATTAAAAGTCTACAAGCGAGAAGCCAGAAGTAGACTGTTTCTCCAAACCAAAACTAAGATCCTCCCCCCCTTCCTACCTTTACGAATAAAAATTGATAGGTTTGCAGCATATTTTGGGTACGGCAAAAATATCAGATTTGTCAATGTGCGTCATTGGTCGTACATAAGTAGCACTCGACATCTTTTTATATTATTTGATTTTTTTTAACGTTGACTTTAATGGACCGTGTAAAGATGATCTCGCGGTACCCGCCGCTAAAAGCGTACTCAGGAGGTCAATAACTTGTGTGCGACCGAAATTAGCGAAAATAAAAATCATACAAAAAAATAAAATAGTAATAAGTCACGTTTTTCGTGCGGAATAAAAAAAAACTCTAAAAGACTCAAGTAAAGATCATAACTGCATCAGGTTATCAGTTTTTAACGTTTTATAACTTACAATTAGGTACAATGATAATTTATTATTTCCAAGTAAAATTTTTCAATTTCTTCAACCGGTCATTTTCGAATTGCATAATGTTAATACAAATATAAGTTATTTCCATACCTATACTGCATTGCAAAATAAATGAACTATGTACAATATTATAGTTGTGTAAAAAATCAAACTCACGGTACATTGCAACAAACGTATAGTTTTCAATTGAAAATGGCAATAGTAAATAATATTGTCTTATGGAGATCTTTAAATGATAATATTTTCGTTGGGAAAACACAAAGAATTGAGTTATTTTTCCAAAATAAGTAAATAAATTATTAGATTTTCCATAATTATATCATGCACAAAAAAATGTATGTAATTATATAACATAAATATTAAATATATACCTACAACGAAAAGTGGAAATTAATCAAGTAGACTATATTTTTCTACGAATTAGCTTATAACTTATTATTATGTTTTTAATAATAGTTTTTTCTAGGCTAACTACATTTATTATTTGGTTATTACTAGTTGTTGTTTAATGATATCTCCGACAATATCCGTAACATTACAACCCGACGGTGGAAGGAAAACACGATATGTTATACTGCTACAAATTATAGCAATGTATGTTCCAAAAAAAATGATGTTTTACCGACCGGGTCAATGTTTATAATTAATGATATATACATTTTTTTTTATTAGTGCACTTTATCCTAAAATTGTTAATTTGAAAACAATTTTTTTTTAAGACTTAAGGCTTCCAATTTAATAAGAATATTTTTCCAAACTAAATGACTATTTCAATGGTTTGGAAAACTATTTTCTAAGGCCGGATCAAGAGACTACTATGCATCAACCTTGTAAATTTAACATTTATGAACCTATTTTAAACAGTATTATTTACTTTTACAGTATTGCTTATTTTTTAAACTTATTTTACCCAAATAGTTCCTAAACAGCAATGTAAAATATGAATTTAGATATCAAAAGTATTATGGACATTTTTAAAAAATATTTTCTCGTCCAAAAATAAAACAAAACATTTCAAAAATATAAATATTTTTTTTGTTTTAATTAATAAATCCATTGAAAGCTATTTTCCATACAATAACTGTTTCAAGCAAACCCAAAGCTTGTGTCGCATTTCGCGAATCAATTGAGTCCCACTTACCGATTTTTTTCTAGTAATTATTTCAACAGAACAAACATTTATCTATGAGCTGTCCTCGTTAACAAGTTTAACGTTTTTGCCTTCCCCTTTGGATGATCTCTTTAGACCGTATATCTCTATATCTCTATATCTACGGTGAGCCCTTTTAAAGGGATTTTTAAGGCATTGGCATAGTAAGACAACATTTTTTTTTTTTTAATATAAATACTTTTATAAAAGTATAAATACTTAACGGTAGCTACAACGTCAAAATAGTCACCCCCCTGTCCGTTATGGATTTTTTTTTTAATATTTAGCTGTGTTTTGCGTTGTGGTAAAAAATGTCAAAAATATGGTATAGTCTTTCAATATGAAGTAGTCTTTAACTTTATCAAATATATCCATTCGATCACTGTATATTGTAATATTATTATTGTTTTCGGGCACCTATATTGTAAATACATAAAATAATGAAAAATAACTTACCTTTTGGGGAGGGGTAATCCTTCGGATCTCTCGGCGTTTCGTCACGTGGGATCACGGACGGGGACGGAGCATTTTTTTTTTACCGGTCGTCCAAATATGATATTATTAAGGTTTGAGGAAAAATAACCAAAAAAAAAAAATGTCTTAAGGAGCGAAAAAAAATTGATTTTCAGTAACGGCGGCGACGGCCCAGCACGCGCTGGGTGGTTTTTTTTTTTTAATTTTTTTATCGGTTTCTATATTGTTATTATTATTATTGTTGTGTACACGGTGCCGCCGAATGAACGAACAACTAACACACACACACACCGCACTGCATAAAACGCGTATCCGATGAGCGCAACATCGCCGAACGTACTATAAGCGCACCGTGTGGACTCTTCGTCACAGGTATCTCCCGCGACCGCAGACCCCCACCCGCACCTTACACAATATAATAGGTACGCTTGCCGCCGGTTCACCTGGCTAGGCCGACCGTCTGTCTGGCGCACACCTCTGTGATAATGTGTGTATAATGTATATCAGGCCCCGCTGCTGTGTGCACATTACCGGTAGTGGTTTTCGCCAATAATAACACATAAATGGTACCGCATACGTTTAATTAACTTTTTTAATTGAGAATAATGTACTTGAAAAAATTCCACCGGTCGATAACTGGTTTTGGATAAGTATTTTTGAAGTTTCGAGTATAGGGCAGGAAGAAAGGTGGAGTGTAGTATATTTTTATCTGCGCGCACTTCTCAATCCTATCCTAACTTTTAAACTCTTATCAACCAGTCAACGTTTTTAGTACATAATTCTCAATTTCATAAAGCTTATGAAATGTATGCGTTGTCATTTAAGTTTTAAAAATTGCTAACGAAAAAACTAAGTTAGAAGGGGGTAAAAACAAAAAACATTGTGAAAAATTGAGATCGTATTGTATAAAAACACTAAAAAAAAAATTATATCTTTATAAACCCTATGAGATATTGAGTGATTCACGGTAAAATGAGCGCCCTGTATGTACAAGAAGCGATAAACAAAGTATTTTTGAGAAAATTGCATTATATGTTATAATATGTTCCATTCTAGATCTACCTTCGGTCTAATTTTTAGACCTAAATCTTAGCTTGAAAAAGTGAAATAAAGAAAACATTTCTATCCGGGGAATGGGTATAAAGCTAATAAATACATAAATTGAAGGCACCGGTACTAATAGAAAGGTTTTTATTATTAAAAATACTTTTTACCACGATCGTTATAGTTAGTATTTTAATATTTATTTCCATCGCGAAAACAGAAACAAATACCTACAACACAAGGCTGAACGAAATCGAGTAAACAAATAAAACAATTCTACTAAAAACAACGTACAACTGTAACAAGTATTTAATTCTGAATTACATGGTTTACAGTTTTACACAAATATTTAAATGACATAGTATAGAATACATAATATAATAACAATGGTTATCAACAATAATTAACATTAAAAAAATATACAACAACAATCAATAATTGTATATGGCGTAGGGAAATTGGCGCTACCATCGCCCAGTACCATTCATTGGATGCTGCAATAGCCATCACTCTGGCCTTAAGTGGCTGGGATGGTCTGGTCCTCCAAGTTGGGGGTTACTGCGATGGGCCAACCCCCATCTATTTCAAAACATATCTTGGTTAAGAAACCACCAAAAAGAGCCTCGGATCTGGACTGATAAAACGGATAAACAATTGGAACTAGGAAACGGAACGATATTGGGATCATGGAACGTTAGAACTTTAAACACACCGGGTGCATTACAATATGTCTAAGATACAGTTAAATCATATAAAATACAAATATCAGCCTTACAAGAAGTTAGATAGCCTGATAAAGGAAACATAACAAAAGAAAATATGCCTTATTCTATAGTGGAACAAATAAGGGTGTACGGGAAAATGGTGTGGGCATCATAGTACACGAACGCTTACTACCGCATGTTAAAGTCTTTGAACTAGTAAATAACAGGATATGCTACATACTCTTAAAGGGAAAATATTTCGATATTACAGTAATATCTTGTTATAGTTCGGCCAAAGAAAAGGAAAACAAAGACAAATTTAAAAAATTATTGAAACTTGAGTGGGGTATTATATTTACACTATTTACATGACTCGAGGTTACAACTTTTACAAAAGACAAATTTTATGAGGAACTGGAAGAAGTTTATGATTGACTACCTAGACACAGTAAAAAAAATTTTTAGGAGATTTTAACGCCAAGGTTGGTCGCTCTTCTGCGACTGTTTTTGGCGATAGACACGTGTAATTAATATTTTAAACCATTCACAAAATATAATATTAATAATAATAACCCCGGCCCCGACCAAAGGGTGGAATGATTAGTGACTATTCATTGAATACAAATAAAACGCACAATATTTTATGTATTTATAGAAATGCACAAGTAACATTAGCGAGCGATTACTTTAAGAATTCCGCTATGTTGGCAAGCTCGTCTTACGGCCATATTAACATTCGGATTCATCTTTGACTCATCTTTCCATGCCTTTAGATCACGCTTGCGTGGTGACATGTCAACTATCTAAATAGTATATAAAGTAAAGCAAAAGTAGTATAATATTATTGTATTTATAAAACCCTGTATTAAAAAGCTCCGAATGCACACATACCGTTAATTCGAGATATAACAAAAAACAAAGGAAAGTTTGAAGCAAACTTCACAAAAAAAACAAAAATTACAATTATACAACAGATACAATATTAAGAAATTATACAGCAGTATGAAATACTTAGTAATGGTTAGCATGAAACTGTACAAGTTATTGAAATAACAAAAGTATTTCGCATTTGTTATTTCTGTTACTCTGTTACCCAGGCTTATATCAGTATTGGGATAATTCAAAAGGAGACTCCTGGCCATTCTTAAATGATACAAGGGAAAATAAATAAATATAAGTGTTTATTAAAATGGCTTTAAAAGCGTTGTATTTACTTTATATTTTAACCACGTGAACTATTCGACAATTATTGTAGTTTCCAAAATAAAGAATATATTTGTAATTTTTTTTTTTTTTTTATATATATACTTTATTATTGCACCAGTTTTGCCTTATACCTAATATCGGGAAACAAAATCTACGGTTTTCAAAATATAACATTAGGGTTGTAATGGGTTTTTTAACACGTCGTTAATAAATAGTTATATTATAGATACAAACACTAGATACGGTTTTAAAACGCGGACTTCTAAATTAAAACAGACAACAGTTCTCGACAGTTAGGTATTATGTAAGAACAGTAATGTAGAATATAAATTACATAACTACGGCACAGTGTAATCTTTAACCGATTCTGGTGAGGTCTACCTATTATTGCTTGTACTTAATCATTATTGTTGTTGATGAGAAACATTTGCTAGCGGATGTGAGAAAGAAAATAAACACAGAACAATAAAACTGAGAATACAAACAATAATATTAATATATAATGAAATACTTAAATGTTAATAACACCATTTCGTAATATTTTCTATTAGTATTGTATTGAGTACGCTGTACACAAAAAATATATTTTATATGTTACACAAGAACTAAATAAAAATTAAACTTAATTACATATTTCATTTACACTTTTATTGCACTCAATTTGAACTTAAATATTGTGACATTTTTTAAATTAAATTTTTTGATATACATTAAAACTGTTCTTTTATAAAGACTGAACAAGACTTTTAATTAATTTTTTATGAATTAAAACCATATTTAAAAACTAAAAAAAATGTAATACTTAACCAATATTATTTTCTTCTAGAAAGTTATTTACTCAAATAGTATTGTTTTAGACATTTTTACAATTCAGTAAAATATGCTAATGTTATCAATTGAATGAACTGTTTAACAACTCGAAAAAATAGTTGTAATTTATTATAAAAAATAAGATATTCAATTAAAAATCAGCTGATAAATAATACTACTAGCTGTCTGTAACCAACTAAGAATTAAGAAACACATTTTTTTCGGATGATATAAAAAGAAGAGTCCTTTAACATATCAAGCTTAGATGGCTAAACTAATGAATCTAAAGTCTAAACTAAAGAATGCGATTGAAGTAGAAACTTGGAAAACTAATTAACAAATTCATCGAGGAAGGTCTGATAATACGACCGATACGATTGTGATAATAATATTATCAGGGACGTTTAAATAGAAGATTAAGGCCTAGCTTATTGTGTACCGAACAGCGCAGCGGTGCATAATAGATATTACCAAGGAGAAATGAATACATTTGTTTTGTTAGTCCAAAATCCCCTTCAATAGAGCCTATTAACGTTAGAAAGAAAATCGACAAAAAGGTGTTTTAAAAGTGTATCTAATTGTTATTTTCATGTCGAATAATGAATAGTAATAACGCGTTTGACGCCTTAACGTTTAGACGTGTTTCGGTTAGGGCCGATGGTTTGTTTATAGTCTAATTTTTAATTCAAAAACTTTCTTGGATATGATATTAGGCTAAACGTAAGCCCTATGCGTCTGTGTTCTTTTTTGTTTGACCTACATTTAATACCCGCGGTTGTATTATATACTTGTACAATGCCTCTACGTTTGTGTGCACACAAGAACTTATTGTTACCATACATACCCATATATTCGATTTAACAGCTTCAGATACCTTTTTTTCCAACATATATAAATCATTAAGTATACATTCAACGTGTACCCGTTATTGTCCGCCGCGCTATGTAAGTATGTAGAATATTATATTTAAAAGTATTTGGAAAACATGTCGAGTCATTAAAAAAAAAAAACTTTACCACAGTCGGTTCTGTGTATTATATTATTGTGTTTTATACTTATTGCAACGGGATCCGAGTTTCAGCTACTAACGAACACTAATCACCGATATTATATATTTTTATGTGTAACAACTAAACCGGAATCGATTCGTTAGAATATTCAACGCATAACATGTTACCGGTGGAGAAAAACGTTGATTCTTTCTATCACTTAAGCAGCTTATTAATTCTAGAACGCTTTTAAACTATAACAAAAAATAAATCGTTACCTAACGGTTATTAAGATGAAATTAAATTGTTTTACTTTCTCGACTTTTAAAAAAATCTAATAACTATGGTAAGTAACTGAAATGAAAACAATTTGATGTTAATAACATAAACAGCTTGTCGTGAACAGGAAAAAAAAACAAAATGTATGACTTATATGAGTGTATGATGTACTTATATATTTTTTAAAAAATCAGTAAGTTCGTCAAAGTGTTGTAGACAAAATACTAAAGATTATCCCTCGTATTTATACATCCAGTCAAGCTGCAGTCAAGGGAAACGGTACCGTCCATACATCTAATTTCAAATACAGTTTTGGTTCA